TGGATCCCTGCTGTCAGTCCCCAGGCCTCTGGGCTCTCCTGTCTGGGTGTTGAGCTGTCTGTCCCACCCCACAGGGACAGCAAGGTGATTTATCTCTAATTGTCACTTTCAGCACCTTATTCCTGTCTCCCAAGGACGGGGTCTCACTGAACCCATCACACACCTCCCCTGATCTCACGGCTGCAGAAAGAAGAATGCACACTTCCTCAGAGAGAGGCTGCAAGTCCTGGGTCTAAGGGGACCCGGAACGCCCGCCGGGCTCACCTTGGCCTTGCGCTTGTTGTCCTCCGCCAGCATCTTCCAGTCCGAGCCGTTGTTGCTGTAGCCGATCTTGAACTTCCTCATGAACACCTTGTTCTCGCGGTGCTTCCCGCCCTGGATGATGACGCCCCTCACGATCTTCTCCTCCCCGAGGTCCACCTGCAGCCACTCATTCACGTAGGGGTGGGGCGCAGGCGGCAGCGCCCAGCCCGAGCGACTGGTGACCAGGCGGGTGTTCTCGGGCATCCAGTCTCTGTCGCCTTGGTTGGACGCTGTGATCTGGGAGTCAGAGATCAGTCCGGACACCATCCCCAACATGCCAGAGCAAGGGTAATCTGGGGGCGGGAGGAACAGAATGCGAAATGACAACCCATCATGAACAGAGATGCAGTCGTGGGCCATTCATGCCAAAGCTGCTCTCTCTGGGCTGTTTGCCACTACATGAGAGCCTTCCCCTCATCAAACCTTCCCTCTCCTGTTTGAAATCAGCACACCCCACGCTCACACCCAGTACCGAAAACCTTTGATAAGAACGCCCATTCCCCCGCTTCTGAGTCCTTCCAAGATTCACATCCCGCTGTGGATACTTGGATTACTTTGGCGACCAGAAGCTGTCCCCAGAGTAAGGGCAGGTCCTGTACTAACAGGTTCCTGTGTGATGGGCTGGAGGTGTGGAAAGAAACAGCAGCAAGGCCGCTGCGGGGACACAGAGGGGAAGATGGCGATGCAGACCACGGTTAGGAGAAAGCACGGGCTCGACTCAACTTCCAGAGATAGGAGGGGGCCTCCCAGGGGACTGGGTCTGCAGGACATGCCCGTCCCCCCCAGCAGTGCTTACACCCCTGCTCTACCTGCATGAGTGCCCCACCTCATCCCCAGTGGGCCACATCCAGACCAGAATGGTCCTCTCCGCTTAGGATCGGGCCCCTGTACAGAACCCTGTATTCCACTCAGTGGCATTGCTGTTCCACAAACGCTTCCCTAATCATCTCACCTTGCTCTATTTTCCATTTCTTTTTTGAGAGGTTTTTGCTATAGGGCACGTGCACTCGCCAGACAAACAGAGAGAGACATAGAGACAGAAAGCGAGAAATCACCCCCCAGGGGGGGATGGTCACACCGCAATCCCTTCTCCTCCATTCTCCTCTCGGGATCTTGGGCACGCATGCACATGCACCCGGTGTGAGTTTTAAGCCACCGGGTCTGGGACGCGAACCGCGGTCAACTATGTGGGAGTCTAGCGACATAGCCATTATGCTAACTGCTGGTTCCCTTCCATTTCTGTTTTGTTACTGAATCCTGTCATGTTTTCATTAAAAAAAAAGAAAAGAAAAAAAATCTCGGAGGCCAGCAGAGCATAGTGATTTAACACTGGATTCTCACATGGCTGACCGCAGTTCAAGTCCCAGAGCCAGAGACTTGAAAACCGTACTAGGTATATGTGCGTGTGTGTTCAAAATCCCGAGAGGAGCATGAAGGAGAAGGGATTGTGGTGTGGCCATCCCCCCTGTGGGGTGATTTATCCTTTTCTCTCTCTTTCACTG